GAGGTAACAAAGTCTGTCTTGGACCTTGGATCATTTTCTCCATCTGCCAAGAATGTCCTTCATTAGTGTCAGTGACGTACTCTCCTACCTCAAGAGGAACAAGCATGTTGGCAAATTCTCTCTCAATTGTGTTTTGGATTCTTGACAAATTTGGCACGAAAGAGAGTTAGTCATTAGCAAACCAACTGATTTTTCACAGCATCTCCCTTTCATCTGAAAATTCTGGCTGTTTAACTGGTAAATAGCATTGTGGAGGTGTGAACTGGAAATGTAAATGCATTGTTTCATTTTCATTGTTTTCATGACTATAAGCCCTTCTGGGAGGAAAACTTTAAAAATATTCCCACTGTTAGGTGGCTGTTAGAGAGGCTAAAGACTATAGATGGCTCTGTGTCTTCCTTCTGAGATTTATCATTATTCTTATCCTATATATTATGTGGAATAAGATTTGTCCTTCTGTAGTTTGTTTTAAAGACATCCTTAGAATGAGACAGCTTCTGTCTTCCAACATTGGCCATGCAACCTGGAACCTGAGTGGGTTGGTGTGGCACTATTATGCAGGTGTAAATCATCCACATGGACATGCTGAACTTAGCAATGAGCACTTCTACAGGATACTAAACCAGAATTGTAGAATTTATGTTGCTATAACTTGTGCTTCCAGGATAATGCAGTTGCATTACTATTGTTTGAACATATTATTATTACTACTACTACTACTGCTATTATTATTAAAGGCATGGCTGGAAAGAACTCCAGGACTTGATTCAGAAGAATTTGATTTCTGGGGACAATTTGAAGAGAATGTTTTAAAAGGCCTAGAAGAGGAGTTTGCCTTGATACAGGTATATAGTTTACTCTTGAAGTACCTATAAGCAAAGATGTCTGGCAAAATGATATTCTGACATAAATTTAACTTTTGGCTTACTCAAAGTTTCTCACTCACTTCACTTAATCTTCATAAGTCTTTGTCTGCAAGAAGCAGAAAAAATTGCAAATTCTTCAGGAAATAGGAATATTTTTTTTATTTGACGTCTAAGACTACTTAAAGCATGAGATACATGGGTGATTTGGATTGCAGAAGGCATGGATTAGTATCAATGGAAGGGCTGAAGTTGATTTTACTGAAACTACAACTTCACCATTAGTTAGTATTTGCATCTACAATCTAGAGCAAATATGAAGTTTGGGCTCTTGAGCTGTGGACATGGAATGTCACTATTAACAGCCCATTTCTGTTTAACAGTATATGGCAATTTGCTGCTATGTGATTATTTGAATTGCACTGGCAAATAAGCACCAGAAAATCCCTGACTATTTTAAGACCTGTAGCTCTAAATAATATTTTTTAATATTTTAATTTTTAATGAAAAAAATAATAAGAATTTATAAGCTTCCTAAGAATATTTGTTTATGACTTTCTAACTTATCTAAACTTTTTTATTTACAATTTTCTTGCCCTCTGCAAGGATGTAATTTTTTTGCCTTGAAAACAAATAAATCAGATTTCTAACAAATGATGATGATTAACTTTTTAAGGCCAAGAAATGTGATAAATTGCCAGTGTGTTTGAATACTCATTTATCTGAGTTGTGCTGGAATCTATTTAATTGTACTTTTCAAAGGGCAGTGACTCATATATCTTATTTGAAAATACAATTCTTACATCTAAGATTCAAACTTCAGAGTATTTATTTAAATAAAAATTGCAAAATGAGTCATTCAAGTGCTTAATTTTCCCAGTTGAATTCTAAAGCTTGTCTTTATTTTAAATACCAAAGGCCAAAGCAGAATCAGAAGAAAAAGATGACTTATTGTCTGAATTCCAAAAACAGAGAGACGTATTACTTTCATTATTTGATGAAAAACGCCATGAACACCTGCTCAGTAAAGGTAGATTTTATTTCCACATGTGAATACGTACTTTGTATGTTTTGTACGTGTTGTTTATAAACGTTTGTTGTAGCATGAAAGTTGCAGGAGAATGAGCAGCAAACTGAGGACACTTGTATTTTGCAGGAGAGAGACGGCTGTCCTACAAAGCACTGAAGGGGGCCTTGATGATCTACTTCTACAGGTGATGTTGTAAGATGTGTCATTGATGGAGACTGGCAGGAGGAGAGGTTAAGAACAGCAGCACAGGTTTAGTTAGGCTGGAATGAGCTGTGGGAATCCATATGTTTCAGCCCTCCACAGGAACCCTGATTAGTCAGACACAGCTCGAAGGTCAGACCAGGCTGCTCAGCACCATGTCCTGATGAGTTCTGAGTGTCTTCAAGGACGGGAGGTTGCACATCCCCTCTGGGCAGCTTGACCAGATGCTGCTTCTCAGATTGTAACTAGTAAATGCCTTGTTCTACCTGTCCTAGAAAGATCTTTTTCAAGTTAAAAAATAAAGGGGCAGATCAAGACTTATACAGCAGAAGCATTTGTTGAAGTATCTAGTGATATTCCAGTACCATTTTAGGAAAAGCATGCTTTAAGTCACTAAGCACTGATGAAATGCAACTTTGAAAAATACAGCTTATGCTGAGAGGTCTCGCTGTCTTCTCTTTCATTTTCCAAGGGAGGAGCCTCGTTTCCAGGTTCCCTTTCAGCTCCTCACCTCCCTTATGGATCTCGATGTGCTCATGACTAAATGGAGATGTAAGTTTGACTTTTTTGACTGTGATGCTCCCTCTTCTAGATGCAAATAAATTGTTCTGTCTCTTGAGTTACACCCAGTCTTAGAAATGAGCTTTGGAGTTCATGCTTTAGGAAAGACTTTTTTTTGTACTTCAGCCAAGAGGAAAGACAAAGAGCTGCTTCTGTGATCATTAGGCACATGAGTATAGGTACCACTTCTCTGACGTTCTTTAAGTGTACTGTCTTATATAAGGGGCAGGTATCTATTTTTCAATGTATCCCAAAAAGTCATAATGTCATGTCTTTCTATCAAAACATTCCTTCTGCCTCCTTCCCTGTCTAGACATACATGAGTGCATAATTCTGTATTAACAGAGCACAATAATGTGCAATAATTAGTGTGCTCATTCTGAATTAACAATAATTTTATATTAATTGACTGAAGAATGGCAGAATTAACTCCTGCATTGCTGAAGACCTAATTGTTCTGTATCCCTGTAAAGATCTCTGAATGACCTTCAGTAAGTGTGAACCTTTAGTTATATTTAAATACTGAACATGTGCTATTTTCTCCTGTTGTATCATTTAGATAACCATGTCTGTTTGGTGCACAGAATGATTGGTGGCAAGGCTGGCACTGGAGGCTCATCAGGCTACCACTACTTGCGCTCAACAGTGAGGTAGAAATAATGTTTCCCCTGTTACCTGCAACATGCAGTTCATAAATACTCTGATACTGGGAGATATAATTCAGATGGCTCACTGGAGGCCAAAGGGCTGCTGACTCTCTTCTGGGACTCTATCTCCTCTTGGTTGTTGTACGTTTATTTATCAGTGACATATAAATTCCAAGCTTTCTAGGGCAAAAAGAACTCCTTTTGATCATTCATGCAAAGTGCTGTCTGTAATTCTCAGTCAGGGGGTGCAGGCGTCACCGTGATAGCAATAATATGAACCCTGCATTGTTCAGCTGATGTGCCAGCTAGCCCAAGTTAATGAGGTGACAGAGGCTGGAAGTGAGCCCCAGCTACTGTGTGATAGAGTTTCTTTATTCCCTAGCATGACCTCTAACTGCACAACATCCTTAAAAGAGGATATTTTTCGAGGTTTGCTCTCAAAGAGCCGTGAACCATCATGTAGTGCTGTGAGCAGCTACTATCACAACCCATGGAACAGAGCAGAGCAGAAAGCAGACGGTTAGACTGATGTTGAGGATGGAATGCACACTGTCTTTCTTAGAAAGCTCTCCCACTCTACCTTAATGTCAGGTTAACATTATTGCTCCTAGATAAATTCTGCTAGAGATCACACCCTATGGACTCTGCGTTTTCAGAAGAAAGATGTTTCTATAGATCCCTATTAAGCCTAATCTGCTATGCCCTAGGAAGTCAGGAGTGGATTCTTGCTCTGCAATATTCAGGAGAGTTAGTGCAAGCAATCTTGTTATTTGCATGAGAAGGAATGATTACTGAGGATTTAGAAACGATGGCCTTCTATGCTGATGGAATTATTGTTCCAATTGTCTTTTTCAGTGACAGATACAAGGTGTTTGTGGATTTGTTCAATCTTTCAACATTTCTAGTCCCAAGACATTGGATACCAAAGATGAACCCAAGCATTCATAAATTCCTTTACACAGCAGAATACTGTGACAGCTCCTACTTCAGCAGTGATGACTCTGACTAGCACGCCTTTCTACGCTGTTGCTGTAAAGAACTTTATGACTTTCACCTTCAGTGGTGCTCCCAGCAAAGAGTGTGGGTGTGTAAATATGTATTTATGTATGACAGCTTTGTGAATAGTACAATTGGCCTGTGGAAGAAATTAACTGCTTGTAGAAAAAATAAATCTGTATTGAGTTAGCCTATGTGAAAAGTAAAATGATACCCCAATTCAACCCAATGACCAATTTAACTCTTGGCTGGCTTCTTAAAGCCTGCACCTAGAGAAAAGGACAAAATTACTTGCAGTTATGATCACAACTTATTTGTACATATTTTTGTATTTGCTTGTTTGCCTAATGGTTGTTACTAATTTATGTCTAGTTGAGGATATAATTAGTCTCATCATCTTCGGAAGAATATTAGTTTCTGAGCTCTAGCGCAATTTCAAAAGGATTTTAGGGTTAAAATTTTTGAAAGCTGGATTCAAAAATTAAGTCCTGAATCTACAGAAACCAAACCAACCTGAACTTACAATACATTAAGAATCATGTTGCTATCCCATTTAATGTGAATGTAAATCACTTATGTATAAATACTGTTAAAAATAACAGATATAAGTACTTACTTGGCATTCCAAATAAAACAGTATTAAAGCTCATCTTTTGTTAAATCTTCTAAAGCAAATTATAAAGTTCAAACAAGAGTATGATAGGTATTTAAAGTGATTTTTATTCATATTGGTATACAATAAAAGGCAACTTTGGCTATAGAATATCGATAAAGCAGTGTCATCTTCTCATTAAATGGACTTTTGTCTTTTTAAGTGCTTCCTTTGGAAAGACACAAACACTGTAGGCTGGAATTTCTGGTAAGTTCCCTCTACCACAGCACTTCAAGTACTAATACCTGGCAGTAGCACCTCAAAAACACTGGAGGCACGTCTGTGTTTCATATTGCTATGACTATTTTACTCCTATCCATGCCCATTAGGGACTTTGTTTTCCAGTTATGGAAATGTGGTATCTGTTGTTTGTAAGCCACTCAGGGAAGGCCAGACTACACAACACTCAAGAGTACACAAGACTTCACATTTTTTAAAACTGAAGTTTTCAGCCAAGTAAATTCAGTAAGTAGCAAAACTTGAAGTAAAGAAACATCACACTTGGTCTTCCTTTCATTTAAAATATGAAAAAATTAGAAGGAATTAAAACTAGAAGGAACTAAAAGGAATCAAAATTAGAAGGAATAAACAGCAACACTTAACAATAGACAATTATAAATACTTATTGCATTTGTTGTAAAAGTTATAAAAAAATGAATCTAAAAACATGTTACAGTAATTGAGTGCAAAAATTACAGAACTGCTTCAATACTTTTCATAGTAGGCCTTTGTAAAAGATACAGGTAAAGCATTTGAGGTGAAAAACTCAGAACATTTTAGAATTACATGTTTCATTGTTGAGTTCTAGTTACATTTGCCCACAGCTGCAATTTCACAGCTAAGCAAAGCTGGAACACCTTTTTATTACCAGCAAGTCCCACCTCTGAATTCAATTCATGAGGGAAATTTAACACTGACTCTACTGGATATATTCTATAATTGCTGACTTTCTAAACTGTCACTCATGATTCTTCTTATGCTTAAATGATTTCAAATATACTCTTACGGTACTGATTTTTTGATTCAAATTCCTTTTTTTTATTTGTCATAATTTATTTCCTTTTAAGATTTTTCTATGGCGTAGTATCCAACACCTTACATTTGAGGCTTCAGTCCATCTGTGTAGCCTCTATTTATGCACTCTGCAGATGAGTCTTCTTAATCCATGAGAAATTTGGCATTCAACACAAATTAAAAAAAATTTAAAAACTTCAGCCAGAAGTTGCTGGAATTGCCCTTACAGCCATTTCTTTTGTTTGAAAATGGTGTTTTGAATTCCATCTTCATACACAGTGTCTGTCCTCATGATACTTGTGGTCTTTGACCAGTTGTGGAGGCCCAGAGGAATGTCAAACAAATACTGCTGAAACTGTATCTGCAATACCTAGAAATGACATAATATTTGGTTTTAATAAATACTGAAGTGGAGACTTCTCACAATTCATAATAATATAATGCCCTCTCCCCTCCATGCCATGACAGTAGGAAACCAGGGAATCATCTGCAACCCTTTTATTTTTCCTTTCCTGGCACTGTGTATAGTTGAAACCTAATCTCCTCTTTCCTCTGCTTTTATATTCAAAATTTTATATCCTGGTGGTCTCAGAGTACCTCTAAGTCAGAAGACAACATCTCTGTGGGAAAAGGAGCAACTACTATCCTTTGCTGGATTGTTCTTGCATGGTACACTACTACAGAAAATGTGAAAGATCCTGCCTTTTGAAAATAACACGTCTGTTCTCACTGCCATCTCTATAACTCACTTGCTATATCACTGCTTCTAAATTTCTCTTTCCAAACTGTTTATACAACAACAGTAAGAACAAAGATTCAGTAACATGAGAAAGCTATGACTGGGTACATTGCTCTGATCTTCACTAAGTGCAGGCAAACTGAGTATTGTCTATTCTTTATGTGCAGAAGACTTCGGTAATCTAACACCTCCTGCAAGGACTGAGAGCTGCTGCGAAACACACATGGAAGGGAAAGCCAATGGGTTACTCTAACACATAAAATCACAACAGATTTTATCTGTTCACAACACTTCCTATCTAGTGAAAATATCCCACCAATTTGGCTCAGCAATCTGATGACAACCCAGAGCTTGACTTGCCTTACCTCCATATGTAGCAGAAACTGGTATTTAATGCTACAGGAATCCATCAAACACAAGAAAAAATTCATGCAAACAACAATATAGCAGGAGATTGAACGAGCACTAAAAGGATATATTTCTGTCCTACAAGAAAAAGCACGAGCAGGGTACACAATTCCCAGGTAGATCTGCTTTTCATATTTGTTTGTTAAACGGAGCCCAGAGATACTGGCACCCACCAGGCAAGGACAGCAGCTGTTTTACCTACAGGGAGTACAGCGATGGCACCCACCTACAACCATCACACACGGCTGGATATTTTACAGTGCCATTACCTCTGCATGGTAAGGGACAACAGTACTTTAATTATTTGTTTTGTCTTATACAGCTTTGCCTTTACATGGTGCTTTTCAATCATTCAACTACGTGCCTTGGTTGAACTAGCAACCACTTCATTTAGTTTTCCACCTGGACTCATTTAACCTCTTTTAAAGCACAGCAATGATTTGTACTGCCTCTCTGAGGATCCCATTATATCATTATTATATTATTATATATATTATGTAACGATGATATTAATTTGTTATAGCCATTGCGAAACATATCCCAGCCCATGGCCTTTACCACTGACTTTTTGTCAGACTTACCACAGACATTGCTGCCCATCTTAACACGAACGTATCCATCTATTCCCCATGTCGGCCCCCAAGAGTTCTGTACAATCCAGTAAGGAATGCTACCTGGAAGAGACATTTCATGAACAAGAGACAACATGAGACTTGGGAAGCTTTAGCCTCCTAACACTTCACAGAGTTAATCAGCATTTCAGTATCTCACACTTTCTGATGGATGGATGATACAGGCCAATGAAATCTACTGTTGTTCACGTAGATAACAGAGCTAATATTCTGGTATGGGAAGACTGGATATGGGCTCTTCTAGCATAAAGACACACACAGCCATGGTCTTGACTTTACAAGGAGGAAGTCCCACAGAACTCAAGAAGCAATGACAAAAAGAGTTTTTCTTCTGGCTGATGTGAAGATGATGTGATCTTCAGAGAACTTCCAGAACTGATGTGATATCAAACCAACAGCTTCCAGCAGAAAACCGAGTTCTGATTTTAATCACTTATCCCACAAAAAGCAAGTTTTAAGTAAAAGAAACCTACTGTGCTGAAGTTCAGCTGGTGGAAACGCACCTGTTCTGTCAAAACCAGTGATAAGAACAGCATGATTTGCTCTTCCACTGGAGCAGTGATATTGTATGATTCCACCGAGATAATCCTGCCAGCTAATGGCATCGACTGTCACTGCCAAAGGGCCCCAGCTGACAAGCATCTTCATCATTTCCTCTTCTTGACCACTGCAAGAGAAGTGAGTAAAAATACCAAGTTACTTAAGTTAGCACATTAAAGTGATTAGAGTGATTGTAATCTACTTGTTAAGAACAGTTTAAAAATCAAATAATTAAACTCCTTCCTCTAATTCTGTGTATCACACATCAGTAATTACATATTTCATATACTACAGCACAGTGATACAAATATAGGACACACAAACTATGGGACAGGTGTAGATCTAAACACACAATGCTATTAAATAGCAGAAGATTTCTGTGTCAAGCCAGTGGGCAGTGGAGAGCACTTCATACTTTTTGTACATCACTCTTCTGAATCAAAACCATCTTTGAACAAACCATTATTCTGTATTAGAATTTCCCACTGTTTTTTTAAATCTACAGAAGTACCTCTTAACATAAAAATACACTAAAGTATGTGTCTTAAACATATCAAAACACAGGACATTTCCACTATCAAACATTTATCATTAGCACTCTCATACAGTTTTATTTATCTGGAGCAGGAAATTTTCATCACTGAAAATATGTTCATTAACTAAATTTGGAAAATACAGACTGGCAAAGATAGGATTGATTTTGGTTATTTATATCTGGAAGTAACACAATTCCTAGCCACACTAATACTTCTTGTCTTTATTCAGTCCTGTCTTTATTCACAGAAACCTAAAAAGCTGAAATTTTTACAGAGTTCAGTTGACAACACTGTTTCTAAAGTCATGGGCTGGAGAGGATGTGGGTAGATATGTAAATGCATGAATACTGAAGTAGTTGAATGCTTCCTATTTTTTCAATCAATTCCAGTTACTGTTGGTAGGATTTACTGTTTCTGACAAAAGCAATGTTAATGTTCATATATTAAAAACTGTAAATGACTCTGTGTTCCAGTTTACAGCCAATTTAAAAGACCTAATTTCAAGATACAAGCCTTCTCATTTCAAGAGGCTTAGTGATGGCAGTGTTGAGTGGATTCACTGTAGCAAGCCTTAACTCTCAAAGATGTTATGCATTAATCCTTCTCCAGCACACAGCTACAGAACTGATGCAATCAACCTCCCAGCCTTTGCCTGGTCAGTGCACTGCTCACTCCACCTAACTCCATCACTGCTGAACACAGAAGGAAAAGTACAGTGAAAGAAAAGAAAGAGTCATAGCTACCTGAAGTCATATGCAGCAAATCCTGTTATTGAAACTCCAAAATCTGAGCGCTCAAAATAATGGCACAGTCCTGTCTGAGCTTTGAAAGTGTATTCTGAATCTCTCACGAGTTTTACTTTGGTCTGCAAGAAGGTAATTGAGTAAGAAATTAATGCATTTGACTTTGCTACTATGGACCTCAAAACGTAAGGAGAATGACCACATAACCCACTCAAAATTCAGTGTGCAGTGGGCAAGATTAGAAGTAAGAATGTCACATTGCGAAATAATGACTTACTATCTCTAGTTTCCTTGTTCACTGAGCTTCAGAAGAGATTCAGAAATCTTTAAATAAGAAACTAAATTTAAAAGGCATCGCTGATTTAAACTATCCTCATAAGCGGTCCTGTCAATTTCAAGACAGACATTCATTCAGTTCATTCACGAAGAATTCCTTCTCTTCAAATGACTTCCACACACAAAATTATACTATCATTGGGACAGTTCAAGAAGCACAAAAAGTTATGTAAAATGCTGTTGAGTCCAATTCTGTTCTTAGCATGTAATTCTCATGCTAGTACATGATGTATGCATCAGCCTTTTATATTTTTCATGTCTTCTGGAGTATAGCATATTTATGATAAGGACTTCTTCAGCCTAATTCATTTGTGGTTCCTCTGCTGCCAAAAGAGAATTTTCCTTCAGAGGAATAAAGGTGAGTATCCTCTGTTGTTCTTGATATGCAAACTTATACAAATTATCTATAGTGTTATTAGCCATGGGTATCTTACTCTTCAGGGGTAGAATTACACTCTCTTAAATTCTGGAGTTTTTAAATTCAAAAAACAAAATAATTATTTCTATATTTTTGTAATTCAATCTGAGAGAGTACTTCTTATTTCAAAGATATCATAATGTTTCTGTTTACCTATGTTATTAACACACATTTTAAATTTTTAACTAAATGAAATGTGTTAGCAACAACTGAAGTAGAAACTTTGCATTTTCAATGTTTTGGTCTGCAAGGGAAACAAAGGTAAATGCAGTGCATTTTATTTTGAGGTTTTCCATATACACTTGCTCATAATTTTACAGTGTTTGCAATAGAAATTACTGACATTTGAAAACAGAAAATGTCAAGATCCTTCCTTTTCCCCAGATGCTGGTGCTTTAATTCCACAAAATGCCATATGCAGAGGTGGCTCTCTGTACAGTGGTACTGTATGCCTCCAAATGAATTCAGGAACATTATTTTCAGCCCCTGTGGACTGATTTGTTACGTTCACAAGAACATGCATGGACCATAAAGTTCCAATCAAATTTCAATTCTGCTTGAACTAATTCTCCCATGGTTCCAAACTAAATAAATAAGCATATATACATATACACAAATACATAATGTGTATGCATCACACACATAAGATTAAATAAAACCCCTGTACGTTTCACCTTCCCCATCACTTTTTTCCCAATAAATAAGAATGCTACTAGAGAAGCGGATGAAGTCTTTTGGGATTTTTACAAAGAGTTTCAAACCTGGTTCAGCCAGCTCAGAGCGCTAACAGTGGATCCCCCGCTGCAGCCGTAGTTATTGTATGAGCAGTCAATAACTTGCTGCACACTGAGCTCTTCCAGGGTGCTTCTTTTAATTGCATAGGCAGACTCTATGCCACCCACCACGCTGAAAGCCCAGCAGCCTCCACACTGATAGAGACAAAAGGGAAATGGCAGAGAAAGCAGATGTCAGTTTGGTTTCTGAAGCCTGATATGAAAAAAGAGGCAAAAGAATCTTCCAATGCTCTTCATTTAATACATCATCCTTGAACTCTGTTTTTAAGGCAATAATAAATGTTAGCATCCATTTAAAATGCTGAACTGTTTTTCCCCCTATATTGCTTTCTGAATGCTAGAAATGCATTATGGGTGTTTTTTTAAGGACTCTTTCCTCGTGAATTTTTGTTCTTGACAATAGATAACTGTGAGGCATCTATTTTCCAAAAAAAAAAAAAAAGTGGTCTCAGGATGCAATTAGTTTTTAACCACATCAGTAAGCTTTCCTAGAATTTTGTAGAAACAGATTACACTTTAAGAAATGGTAAAGTGAAATTAAACATAATAGAAAAAAATCTTAGACAATAACAATCTATACTGCAATTCTAGGCTCTTTGAACTGTGACATTTAAAATAAGCAGCAGAATTTATTCCTCAGGAGGTCCTAGGTGAAGCATGGAAAGGAGATACTGGGGATTGAGCAGCTTGTTTCTTACCAGGGACTATAACCACTTTGGGATAAACTGTAATTGTGTGGGGTCTGGTTACTTTGCTGTCATGAATGCGTCCCTGAGGAATTCACTGGTAAGGATGTGGGTATTGACCAGACAAGGGGATTCAGTCACAGGAGAAAAACAACAGGAAAGGATCTACACCTCTCCAGGTGGGATGAGATCAAGTACTGAACTTTGGTTCCTTCAGAAAAATACAAAACACACATGGTGCAAAATATTTGGAGATTCACTTAACTAGATCAAAAAGTATATTACAGTTTCTAAATGCACAACTTCTACACCTCATTCTTTTAAGTCTAACACCACTTTGCATAAAATGCCACATGACTTTGTGTATGTTCAACTGGCCACTCTTGTGCCAGTGCTTCAAGGAGCCTTCAGGCAGAGCTGGTCCCTGCAAAACCTTCCCTGCGCTCTACAGCCTACCTGCTGAGAACCAGGAAGGGAAAACACCAGGACTTACTGTCTGCTGATTTCTCACTCCTGCAATGACTTTCTTGTCCCTCCAGTCAAACTTCTTTGGCAGAGGCTTTTCCTCCCCCTTTGGCACTTTTATGTATCTGGGAACTTTGTGAGGTATGCTTCTCAAGTAAATGGCTAAACAGAATACAAAAATCTATAAATCTATGAACAACAACAAAAAAATCTATGAACAGCTACTTTACCACAACTCAGAAGTAACTTTGACCTACAGTTACAACCATGAGATTGTATCTCATTCTAAAAATCCATAGAAAAATCATCTATTTTAAAACAACCATTATGCTCCAGAATGAATGTATTTCTACAGTTTCAGAAAGAACAGAAATACTCTATGTAGGGAATGTGGGTAGAAAGTGTGAAGATTTTCTGAAGGAGAACAATAACCATAATCACTCCACAAAACAAATTTTACTTGAAAATTTCCAAAACATTTTACTTAAAAAATACTTTGTTTTGGCTATGTACAAGGGGAAAATAAGAGGAAAATAAAGTCTGTGAAACACCTTCAAGTTGTGTTTTCACAAAAATGTTGTTTAATTATTTAAAATTAAAGCAAGATGTTAAATCCTCTGATGGACAGAAAATGTAACAACAGACATTAACAGCAAGAAGCAAAGGTATCATACAAGTTTTCTAGGAAAAAAAATTAAGTATGTCATATTGCTTGAGAAAGCTCCAGCTGTCATTATGCAGCCATGGACCTCCACCCATCGTTTGGACTGTAGTCAATTTTGTGCTGGGGTAGGGAGTATGAACTTACTGCAGAACCTTATGTATCTTCCTTTTTCAAAAAGGAAGAACCTTGTGTATCTTCCTTTCTTCTACTGCAACTGAAGAAAGCTTTAAAGGGCAGTGAGAAGAAAGAAGGAAAACCAGAACTGCCTGAATACAAAAACATATTCAGGCTGTGGGTAATTCAACCTTGCAAGACTATAGAACATGAAGAGGATTGCTGTCTCCTCCAGAAGTACTTACAGTTTGGTACCAGCCATTGTAAATTAGCTGACTATCAGCACGGGAAGAATCTGTAAGTGTGAAAGACACAAGGTTCTGGGAAAGAATTAAAAAAATAACAGAAAAGGCATTAGAAAACCAGAAAATGTACCTTTGAACTCTTCAGGAAACAGGTGAGAAAACTGATTTATTCCATAGATAGCAGTCGTATTATCTTTTGATAATGAATTCAATAATCTAATTCTTTTAGCACTTTCCTGAAGGAATAAAAAAATTGTGTGCATTACTAAGTTAGCAGCAGGGACAAAAATGTAAGAGCAGAAAAAGAAAAGGTTTAGTAACAGTAAACATGAAATTAGATAACAAGAACTGTTCACCTCAAATTCATCCTGTATCCTTAGCAATAGGAAAGCCATTACACTAATTTCAATTCCAACAGATACCAAAAAAGCATTTGTTAAGTGCAAAAAAATTGACATGAAACAGACAAAACCCTGAGAACAACTTGTGTCAAACTCATCTGATGTCCTTCTTTGACAGCACAACAAACCTTGTGGTTGAGAGATATGCAAAAGCGTCTGCAGATACGAGTTAAGCCCATCGCTTCACGCAGCGAAAGAACAGCATCACGACCTAGAGGCCTCCCCGCCTGCTCCCAGCGGCCCGCTGTGGCCGGGCAGCCGCTCTGGCGGCCGGCGGTGACCCGCGGCACCGGGCGGCCGCGTCCGGGCCTGCGGAGGGGAGCTCCGCCTGCCGCCGCCTCCCGGCCCGCAGAGCCCGCACCAGCCACGCAGAGAGGATGGCGAGGCCAGCGCGGCTGGGACACCTACCCGCAGAGCCGCCGCCGCTCCCTCTCGCTCCCGGCCGCCGCCGCCCCGCTCCCGCAGCCGGGTGCCCGCGGGCGCCGTGAGGGCGACGCTGCCCGGCCGCAGCAGGCAGAGGAGCAGCGCCAGCACCGCCAGCGGCCACCGCGCCATGGCGGGGAGCGCCCGGGCACGCGCTCCCACCCGCGGAGCTGAGATCCGTCAGGTTCCGAGCGGGAAAGCGGCCGAACCCCACTTCCTTCCCAGCCCGCGGCCGGAGGCTGTCCCCGCCGCCGCTTCCCGCGGAGCCGGCGGGCGGGGCGGGGCCGGGCCGGGCCGGGCGGGGCAGCAAGGAGCGCTCCCTCCGCACCGCCGCTCCCGCACCGCCGCACCGGGCTGGGAGAGCTCCTGCGGATCCTTCTCCTGGGGGCTCTTGGGAGATGCCTCCCAGTCCGAGCTGTGTTGGAGAGCGCTCAGCAGCGCCTGGGCGGAGCCGTGTTTCCAGCAGGGGTTTCCCATGTGGGAGAGGCGCGCAGGGCTGCCAGGGAGGGGCGAAGGGATGCTGAGCGTTCAGGTATCCGCCAGGTTATAAACTCGTGCCAGCCCTTCTCCGAGAGGAGGGTTAACTGGTACCTGCAAGCTGGGCTGCCAGTAGGAGAGGGAAGCAGCAGGAAGGCAGGTTACAGGCTTTAGCAGGGGAAGGCACGGGCGGGCAGGGCAGAGCTGCCCGGTGGTGCCCGCAGCCCCTGCATCCCAGTGGGAGAGCTTGTGCTGAAAGAACACACGGAGAGAAACCATGACTTTCCTCAGAGACTGGTCATGCTGCTACTTGGGTAAGCAGGTCAGTGTCAGCGTTTAAAAGCCCCATTAGGCCACTTCGACTTAATAGACCCCTTTAGTTAATTTCCATCACCAGGCATTTTTACGCAGTGCCTGTAAATAGGACACTTAAGTTTTAAAACTCCTGTATGTTTCAGTTCTCTCTGCTGCTTTCCCCCCCACTTACCTTCTTGTTAATACATGTGTCCTGTCCTGTGGTGCCAGTAGCGCTGTGCTTGGGGAATAGTGCTGTGGGGATCACGATCCAGCTTTGCCTTTGTCCTCCTCCATGAAATGGCTGTTGGGGAATTGGCTGAACGGCCACCGGTTTTGTTACAGAGAAGGCTATTTTTGGCTTATAGCCAGTGTATGGAAGAGCTTGCTAGCAGGGCAGATTTTATTGGTTATTCTGACACGGTTCATCACTGTAAACACAGGATTGGCATTGGAGATGTTATTACAATTTATTAGAAACTCATATTGACAGATTGAGGTCTGGGACAGTGAAGGTGCAATTTGGCTGCTGAGGTGCAAGCCATCCTTTTTGCTTGCACCTCAGCAGCCAAATTCGGATACAAAGTCCATCAAACTGTGACTGAGCACTGAGGCCCTCGTGAGAAGGGCAGGGTGTAGTGTCTGGTGGGAGTGTCAAAGGACAGCTTGCTATGGTCACCATAGCTTTGGATGTACTGGTTGTGGGAGGAGCAGCAGCCTTAATGCAGCAGTCACAGGGTTTTATTCTCTGCGGTAGAGTAGAATGGAACAGGAAAGAAGTTACTTTGCCAGTTAGAGTAAGCAACAGAAAGGTGCTGACATTATGCTTTATTTAAAAACATACTTTTCATTAAAAAGTTAAGATTTTCCATCAGTCTGACATGATCAACACTCTCTAAATTGGCCTGCTGCCCTTGAAATCTGTTGTTCCAGGATTATGATTATCTCAAGCGAAATACTTAATTTTAATAGATAGTCATTAAATTTTAAGCCAACCTATCTTTAACAGAAAAAAGAGATAAACTTTCAGCTATTTTTCGTTATTATTTGTATAGACTATGCTGGTTTCAAACAGAAGTAATCTTGATTGGAGAAGCCGTTTTGTTTTGTTTTATATGTAGACTTCAAGGGTTACTTTGCCCGTGAAACACATGAGGGCAGCAAAGGGCTTCTGAAATGTAGTTACAAACCACACAGCTTTCATTTTTATTTTAATTAAAATAAATAACGCCCAAACAAACAAGGTAAAATCCCCTCATATTTTGGAAAATAGATGCACTTCAGATTGATTTGCATTAAAAATTCTGTATAGTATAGGAAGAGGAAAAGATTAGTTTCCCCTGGATTTGCTCTCTGTGTACTAAATAGCTGTTTCAATATATCTTCTTCAGGAGGAGAAATTGTAAGAAAAGTCAGTGTCTCCTCTGGTGACTGGCTCGGGAAGGAAAGAGTAACAAACAGCCAAAGGTAGGTGACTGACAGCCAAAGTGTTTCAGAAGGTTTTCTTTTTCCACTGAAATACCTACTGTGCCATAAAAACATTTTGTGCCTGTGCTCAGATGAACAAAATCCCACCAAAGTACACAGAGAGCTCAGTCTGCAGGTATGCAGTCCCTGCTCTGCTTTGAATTACTCCAGTGTAAATTTAGCCATGCTTCATTAAGATAAAAGAAAATACACTTGTAAAAATAATGTAAAAATAAGGCCTATAAAAAGAATAGGGTATAGAGAATAGTGTTTGGTTGGTGTGTTGTTTTGGGTTTTTTATTTGGTTAAGCTTTTTTAAAGACTTTATTGGTACAGTTCTTATTGGTTCATTGACACAGGTAAACTATATATTAGTTACACTAGTCATCACAGACAGATGATAAAAATATTTTTATGCTTTTTTTCCCCCAGAAACTCTGATTTAGAATTTTATAATAGTAAATAGTTTAAAAATATATATTTTAATGAAATTTTGCATATCTTTATCCCATTCTGGCTATTAAAAGTATTTGATGAGCTGAAACAATGCATACCAAAGGAAGAAGCAATGATGAATATATATTTAGGAACCTCTAAACTCATTGTAAGATGTTTTCTTTAAATAGATATTCCTTTATTAAGAGAATTTGCTTTCCATCAGCTGCAAAACACTAATTTCTAAAATTTCTCATGACACAGCAGTATTATTAGTGGGTGGGTTTTTATACTATTACAGGTTCAAATTGAAAGATTATGTTAATAATTACTAGTCAAGCTTTTATTTTTTCTCCAATGATTTTTGCTTAGCTGTTTGAAATAGTTAATTAAATCTGGTTGGACAGCCTACCCTTAGTGCCTCCTGGCCTCTGTGTTTATAATTAGCATAGCAAACCGGGCAAAATACAAGAAATTACCTCTCTGTTAGAGACAGGTGTGCCAAGGATGGGTGTTGCTGCTCCTAGGGGCATTAATAAGATGTGTTAATGGACCTTCAGGTAGGAGTGATGCCTTTATAGCACTTGGGGAGGTATTTACTTTGCAGCAGTTTGGACTTCTGTTTTAGGCATTTAAGATGTATAACAAATGGAAAATAAATCCATTTGTGTTCTTCAGCCTCAGAGAGAAATTATCTAAATCCAGCAGATGGAGCTAAGTGCCCTTTCTTAAAAAGGCTTGCAGGGGAAAATTGTGTTCAAGGATTTGCTTATTTTAAGACCTTGCAGAGGTGTTGTTTGCTAATACAGCTGCACTGGTAACAATTATTAAATGTAAGCAAAGCAAGTGAGAATTGCAATCTAGTGATGAAATGTAGTCCTGTGAGGGTACATGGGTGGTGTTGATGTAGCCAATGTTCAGAAGTTGTCTTTTCTGAGCCCCAAGATGGACTTTTTAAAATTTGTGAGAAGCAAAGATGTTTACACATGAGAGAAATTGGGTTTGCAGGAATAACCAAACTGTGCCAGGGGCTGCCTTAGGTAGGTCATGACAAACATCTGTGTTAACCATGAAGTCTCTCCAGGTAGAATGATCTTCCTTTGCAAATAATGAAACAACTGTAGGATCTGCTTCTCAAACCTGACTTTATCTCAGCTAAATATCCTAAACACCAGTAAGTCTCTAGCTCCTTTAAGAAGGTTTTTCCTTCAATCTTGTCAGTAAGGGATGAATTATGAATGAAGATGGCTGGCAGTGGAGCTAATATTCAAAATCAAACAGTGAAGCAAAAAATAAAAATGCAGAAAGGAGCAGCACCTGTTCTGAGAGAGAATGAAGTAAGAAGTCTTGTCAGTTTTAGGAATCTGAGAATTGGCTTTTCTCTGAGAAATCTGATTTGCTCTGTCTTCGTTGCCAGTCCCATTTGCCAGTGTCTACAAATTCACGTTAAATATTCTCAGCTGAGAAAATTTCTCATATCCAGTTCATTCAAGTTTTATTTTCTTGTTGGATTTTTTCTTGTTTGTTTTCAGTCTTTTCAGAAAGTGGGTTATATGGTCAGCTTTTCAGGAAGAATTTCGGGCAATATTTGCTGCAGCTTGGCTTAAGGGCACAAGTACAGATAAATATTTTTTCACTCTAATTGTTCTGATTTCTTCCATCAAACTTTTTGACCATGGGATGTGGACAAAGGCTTATATGTAGAAGTAATGCTGTTTTACAGAGTCTACCTTGCATTTCTGTTAATGCTCGTTAGATAGTTTGTATATCCTTCATTACTTCCTCATCAGTGACTTTGTTGGTAGAGGGATCCAGCAGGAGATCAGGAGAGCTTTCAAAATTCACCTGAAAGGAGAAACAAAATTAAAGAAAAAAACCACCATTTAGAAATCAAGGTATTTCTATCCTACATAGATTTTTGTTCTCCTTTTTGGAGGATCTGCTTGCTGACTTTCTTCATGAGTGATTATAATTCAAAAATGCTGTTGAATCATCCCAACGTTATATTCTTTCTGTTTCATTATTCTTTCTGTTTCATATGCAATACCTTCCTCTTTTGTTTTACTGTGGAACTTAAAATAATGGATTTTACAGTCACGTTGGTGTGAATCAGTTGTGACTTATTGCTGTGATTATAATACTATTGAAGTTGTACTTTGTCCCTTTAGTGCTTTTTATCCATAGAACTCCAATGCCCTTTGTGGGAAGGTCAGCAATGTAAAACCAATGTCAAATTTGCACCTCAGGCATGAGGTCTGTGTCCATGACTAACCTGTGCACAGAAATAGAGGGTCTGTTTTACATCAGTGGTTGAGTTTTTTATTGTATAAAGTTTTGCTGGAAGGTTAACTTGTTTTGTTGCTTTAGACTTTGGTTTATAAGGCTTTCATGCAAGAGTCCTGCCTTCCCTGCTGCTGCTTGTGTGAAATGCACTTCCACATTGCCACTGTTTCCATACATGCTGCTGAAGAGGATAAGCTTTTCTGGAGTCTTACAGCTCTGACCTGCTAGGAGGGTATTAGAACCCAGCTGCCTGTTGAAAATGGGAGGATTAGTATGCAGGAAAATATATTTAGAGAAAGAGGTGTAGGACTATGCCCTTGTT